CAGCCCTTCCACCAGCTTTGTTGCCCTCTTCTGGATGCATTCACATCCTTCTTGAATCGTGGGCCCCAGAACTGCTCACAGTGCTCGAGAGGAGGCTGCAGCAGCATTTAGAGGAGGATAATCACTTCCTTTGCTGGTGATACCGTGTGTGATGCACCCCAGGATGCAGTTTGCCCTCCCGGCTGTCTGGGCACACACTGCTGACTCGCCCTGAGCTGCTGCCAGCCAACACCCCCACATCCCTCTGGACACGGCTGCTCTCCAGACTCTCCTCCCCAATTTATATTTGTGCCTGATGTTACTCCATCCCAGGTGCAGAATCTGGCATTTGGACTCGTTGAATTTCATCCCATGAATCACTGCCCAGTATTCCAATCTAATCAGATCCCTTGGCAAGGCCTCTCCACCCCCCAGAGTCGTCAGCACCTCCCAGTTGGGTACTATGAGCAAACTTGCAAACGGGGCACTCAACTGCATACRTATCATTTTAAGTACATTAAACAGAAACATACCCTACAAGGCATCTCCCAGAGATTCTCCAACCACCAGTCTGAACAATAGATGTGTGATAGCCCTTCTGAAATCTGTTGGAAATGTATTTTTGTTTTTAAAACTTCTGCTGAAACAACATAAGTTAAGAGTCAGTCACAGCTGAGGAACTACTTAACTGCCAAGACTTGTGAAAAATCAGCTTGATCCCAAAAGATAGGGGCAAGGTTAAGACAACATGATGAACCTCTCACATGGTCYATGCCCTAGCACTGCTGATTCCAGGACTCAAAAGCCTGTCCAAAATGTCTTCCCCTGTGTCCCTGCAGTGTGCACCTACAGCAGTCAGAGGGAGCAACAGTACCGCTGGAGGAGAGTCAGACTTATTTTGAGGTCTTCAATGCCACACTACAGGTTTTCAGAAGTGTAATACTGATATTTCTCGCTCCCTACATTTTCAAATTGACACGGTTAAACTGGTGCAAGTTCCCATATGCACGATTATCGTGCCTTGGCTTCCATCAAAACAATCAGAAGAAAATGAGAGTTCAGGGTTACAAACTATTTTTTCTGAAGATTGTACATACCAAGTTTAAAATCTGGCCTACTCTCTCTGGCTTACCTCACAAAACTACATTTGCACTAATCAGCAGCCAAGCACAGAGGGAAGAGAGTATTCAACAGTAATCCAACCTGCAAAGTCCAGCTGCTTTAGGTGTAGGTGTGTGTTTGTGCAGGGGAGGCGGGGAGTGGTGAAGGGACAACAGGGCAGCCTTGCTCTCAGCCCAGGAGCAGAGCAGGGCTGGGCCCTCCAGCGCTCCTCTCCCACCAGCACRTTTTCTCCAGAGGCCAGACATGACGCACATCAAAATCTACACAAGTAACAGAACTTCAGTAAGGCCATGACAACACTGCCATCCCTGCACAGAAGAGTGCCAGCATGCAGACACCAYCCTCAGCAAAAGCTGACTGCAACCCACAAACTCAGTTTTCTTGCACTGGGCTGTGACTATGTGTAACTCCCACCAGCTCCAGCGACCTTAATGACAAGACAGAGATCAGAGGAAGCCCTTTGCATTTGACAATGGTTTCTCACCAGCTAAATTTTATATTGCAAATAAACGAAATGAGTCATCAAACAGCCTGAGTGAAGCTCTCTTAGTCTTCACCAAAGTGCTAATTCCACCTCTCCCCCAGTCTGTTGAGTCAGAGCTGTTTCTCCCTCCAGCCCTGCTCCGCTGTACCCTCCAGAGAGGAACTGCAATGTTAATTCTCCCACCATCTCTTTCATGCCTTCAGCCCAATGTCCTCACCTTACCATATGAGTCAGATTTCTGATTCTTTTCTTCCTGTGAAAGGGATTTAGCGGATAAACCCTCATTAATATTATAATTCTTATTAAGAATTCCTTGCTAATGAGATCTGCCAAACACATGACTAGACTAATTTGTACAATGCTTGCTCTCAGCAATACCTGTACTCCAAAGTTCTGATGTCCATCAATTATCCAAAGCACTAGTACAAATCTTCTGACATAAACAAGGACAATACTATTTCCACAGAATTTAGGAGACAGAGGTCAATTACCTTGACAAAGGTCTTGGCTTCCTGGACCGGCTGCAAGCTACTCATTTCTCATTTTTCCCAGGCACAAACAGGCAGCTGTTGAGACCTGCTTCCATCAGGATCTTTCCACAGAGCAGAAAGATGGGTGAGCAATCCTGCTGTACCTGCTGCAGAGCTGCTGCCCCATCCGACTTTGGACTCTCCACATTGCACCTGCACCTGCAAGTGCAAAACTGCGGAGAGCCAGGTCCATGATCCCCCAGTTGTGCTGACTGCACCAAATGGAGAGGCTGTCCAAGAGCAAGGAAAGACCTCCACGCAGTTCAATATATTCTTTGGCAGAAAACARATTCAAAAGCAGGCTAAATTAAATTATTATTTGTGTAAATGGAATGCCCTGGTTATAGAGTTGTAACCACAGCAATCACTTAAACAAAGCTTTAAAGAAAATATTCCCTYGTTATTAAAATATTGATTCTAGATTCTGATTCAGTTGTTCAATCTTCCYCTTGTTTCTGATCTCAGAGGTGCTGTCTGACTCCAGGTCTTAGAAAATACATGGAAAAGAAAGCGCTCGGCTCAGAGCCACCAAATATCCTCAACAAGTACTTCTGTCTCGTGCCAATAGAATGATGCTTCCTAAATATACAAATACAGAAGGATCACGTTATCATGTGGGGATTGGAAGGTTTGCAACATTATACAAGTCACCAGCTAGCAGGGATGTATCTCGGAACAAGTCTCATGCAATTAAACTAGGCCCACATTAACCACTTTTCAGACACAAGGTATTGCTTCAGTTGGAGCCAGACTAATTTAAAAGTTCAGGCACTGAAAAAATAGAAAATTAGGGGGAMAGGGCTTAAGTATTTGGCATTCGGCAATGTACATTATTATTTAAGTCCTTGATAGCAAGGCCAGATATCCCTCTATCTCCACAGACTCCATTCCAGAGTTATGACTCTTGTATTAATAAGACTCATGCAGGCATTGCACAAAGGCAGCATTGATTTGTTATTCTGTAACTCTATCTGGAAAACCAGGGAGAATTTTATTTTGAAAAGATCCARCCAGAGCTTTTTATTTTTTTCCACTGCCTATTAAATGAGTATGTAGCCAGGAAAATGGGACACAGAAACCGTAAGATGGATGTGATCTGCACACGTGTTTTTCTCACAAGAAAACAAGTACAGTGCATGTTTGACAAAAGGGAGTAGCTTCAGGGTTACRTTATATAATGGAGCTGAATGCAAACTCTTGAACATACAGCACTTCAGGGAGGTACATTAGGAAAGGTACAAAAAGGAAAGTATTCTCCTCATGGGAGGAAATTTCTTCTTGAAACATGATTTGAGAATCTCTCCTGGATGGCACCAGTTGGTTTGGCTCTGCAAAGTAGCCAACGCGAGCTTCAGATYTGGTGGTCTGAGGATTAAGGAGCTATTCCTGCTGCTTTAGCTTCTCTCCACATCCCACTGATGTTGGTTGGACATCACTGAATGAAAAGCAAACAGTGACTAACAGATGTACTGAAGGCCAAAAAATATTAATGTATCAAGTCAATGACAAAACACTGCAGCAGCTGCTGTTTTGGAAAGCAAGTTTTGTTTTATATGGCCAGGTTCAGAATGAACAGAAATTGTTTCACAGAATACTGTCAGAATAGAAACCAAACACAAATTTATYTGTGTGAAACCTGAACATGTATTTTAGGTGCACACACCCACACACATATGCAGCCTGAATAGTTCATTCCCCTCCTCTGACACAATCAGGGATGCCTTTAAGAGGAGTATGAGCCCAGGCAYGCTTCTAACCCAAGCTGCCTGTGCCACACCCCCCCTATTTTAACTATATTGTATCATGTAATGGCTTGAAAAGCGTTTTTTTTTCCTGTGACTTTTCCCTTCCTCTACATTTTCACAACGCTCTTCAGTTTCTTTTAGCAATAGTCAACACAACATATCAAACCTGAAATTCTGTAGTCTAGTGCTCAGCACCAGACTGCAGTAATTAAGCTAGGGGAACCGTCTCCCCAAAAGATTAGTTCTCATTTAGTTTTCCCACAATGGCTTAAGGTTTAAACCACAGCCTAAGATCCTTTCAGCAAAATATCAATACAGAACCACTGCACTCACTTGCAACTGGCTGATGGCAGCTTATTTACATTCCCATCTCATGAACAGATACTTGTACTTTAAGCAGCAATTATCCAGAGGGCTTTTCACAACACACGTACAGGTTGTCAATTTCAAGGTCGTTCAAACGAGCCGCAGTATCTGCTTCCAAATTTAAACCTGCACAGCTACAGTGGGCTCTTTAGAGAGTGTTTCCAAATCTCCAGATCCCACCTCATGTCTCCCCAGCTGCAGTAYTCCTTCCCTCCCAGCAGTATTTGCTTTACCTTTTGTATGCCCAGATGGCCTTGATTGCTTGCATCCTTCCTGAACTTCTCTGTGGCAATATGTAGAGGCTGAAAAATCATGCTGTAAGCATATGCAGCAAGGCTGGCTAAAATGCATGATTCGATGATTAGTTACACTCTTGAAAAACCTTACAGAGGAAGCAAGGATTTGCAGCTCGRTTTCGGAGATGAAGTGTTTTGTCGTAATGTGGGAAACCCTTTTGCCCTAGTGCTGCCCTATTGTGCTCTCCCCTCCAGCAGCTATTCTGGTATTTCACAGGCAACAGAGGGCATATTTCCATTAACACACTGAACCAGAAGTTATGGATTCAGCACTCARTCCTCCATTCAGCCCCACAGGCAGCAGCTGGCACAGCTGACAGGAGCTCCTGAAACTGCTCCTGCAGGACTCGCTGTGCTACAGAAAGAGCATTTCTGACATCAACAAAGCCAACAGGACTTCAGTTTGGCAAGGCCACACACCACACACCCCACCACCACCCTTGTAATACAACAGTCTTSAAAATGACAACAACAAAGCTCCATTTTAACTAAAACCAAAAACCCGGGTTTACTGTGCCCTTTAAGGCAACTGGAGTAATTCTACAAAGAGCAGGTGTAAGAAACTACTCCAGAGAACAGGGAAAAAAGAACCCACACCATCAGCTGTCTGGTATTTATTACTTTTTAATACAGAGAACTCACAACAAAATATTCTCTAACAACACACGTAAATGATATCATAACCAATTATTTTAATTTCATCAACATTCATTTGCTATGTACATATTCTTCCATCTGCAAAAGTGCAATCCAAGAATGTCTCAACAAGAAACCTTTATGGACAAGTATATTTTTGAAGGGTTTTCTCACCAGTGGCCTTACAACATGTTTGTCCTTGGTTACTTGGTACAGCAAAATGAAGAATACATGGGAGGGGGGAAAAAAAAAGGAAAGAAGAAAGAAATTGGGCTAGATGCCTCCCTCGTAGGATTATTCCTTACTTTTCCAATTAAACTTATTATGAATATACTGTTCATTACTGGAGATGTTAATGTAAATAGACTATAGGACAGTCTATGGTCTGGCTATAGAACACTGTAGTTTTAATGACTCTGCAGCATTAGACAGAACAACAATTTCAGGCTGTTTACATTGGTAGATGTCAAATTACACATCAGCATGTAAAAGATGTCCATTTTGTTAGTTACGGTTATCAAAATTTATTTGTAGACATCTTACTGATGGATGAAATAATTTTTACACATCCACAATATGAAGTCTACCTAAATGCAAGCCTCTCCTATGGAAAGGAGATTTAACTACTGGAAAGAAAAGCATTTGCACATGCAACCCCTATTACTATCACAAGGAGTATCGTGCACTTAAGAGCAGAATGAACCTCCAAACCCAGAGGACTGCATTGTCGCTTACAAAACATGTTTCAGGCAAATTTAATTTGACCACAGGCCAGCTTAAAAAGAACACACAGCATCAGAAAAATGAAATGCAATGAATCAACTGGCCAAATAAGCAAAGCAAGCAGCTCCCTAGCTAGGGAAGTCATTTCCCTTTTAATGTATTTATAAGCTCATGACTACTTCCAATGCTTGTTTGGACAAAAAGCAGAGACACCGTGGTCTAGTTTAACTTCCAAAGTAGTCACTGGGTCCCGCAGAAATCACATTTGCGCTTATACCTCTGCAAAGCCCAGGAAACTCTCATAGCCAAAGGTGAGGCTGACCGCTTGACTGGAATCTGCATGTTACAGAAAATACCGCATTTTGCAGTAACCCAAGAGCAGCTTTCAGTACCAAGGAGAAGCRGGGAATGCCCCTACAAATTGGGGATAACTTATGTTGGAGTGGAAGTTCAGAGGAATCTTTCTGCAGCTCAGCTGGTTTCCCCTGAGGATCATTTTTACAGTGCTATGTGTGCTGCTAGCCTCCACTTGAGAGATATGTTTTCCAAGAAAACAGGCATTTCCTCATGCTTTCCTCTTCCCATTTTCTCAGCCTGCTCCATTCCTGGTTTTGACTTTGAAATATTGTACAATCTCTCATAGACTTGTTTTTAAAGCTGGCTATACTCCATTTATTCAATATCTACTGATTTTTGATTGTCACACACACAGGTCTAAAGAGGCATCCAAGAACTTAAAGGGCAGAATTCTAAATTAGGCTACTCTAAGGGAAGTAAGCAAACAAGTATCTAGGACAATTCCAGATCCCACTTCTTCCCTACCATGTGCATTGCACAGTGACACCTTCCCTCACCACTGCACCAAAAAGTGGGCACACAGTGCCATGTATTCTATGTGGGAATCGACATCCCAGGCTCATGACATGTGTGMCTGGCACTTAAGACCGAACCTACAGTAAGAGATGTATGCTTTAATTGCTTCTCATTACAGGAGCTTTGTCTTTGCTGCRTGATTTCAGGCTGCTGGGACAGCCGCTGCTGTGTCTGGTCTGGTTCTCAAGGTACCACCAGGCAGCACAACTCCAACCCTGTTARCCACCCTAACTCCAGCAGGCTGCTCAACGCACATCAAAGCTGAAGGGCTCATCCTTCTGGAGGAGTTAATACAAATTATAATTTGATTGCTCTCCAAAAGGGAAGTCTACACTGCAAAAGTAAACAGGTTTTATCCGCTGGAAACCTTCCTCCTGCCCAGCTAGGTCCAGGCCAGGTCCTGCTCCTATGGACAATGGTTACAGTGCTGGTCCCGGTGCAGCTGATCTTGGTGTAACTTTGTGGTAGCCACAACAGGACAGTGTTAGAAGTCTTTTAAAGTCCTTCCCATAATTCTCCCAGAAGAAGGAACAGGTTTTCTGAAAACCGCTGCAAATGGGAAAACTGCACAAAAACCCCAAGAATATGTTCCAGGCCCAAAACTAAACCCGGGAACATGGACAGAAGGAGAGGAGCACCAGTGGTGAAGGCTACCACAGCTGCTAACTCRGCTATTCAGATCAGCACTGAGCTGGGTGGCATCTAAGGACACTGCCACTCGAACTAGCAGCAAGTCACCTGTGCCAACATAAGCGCTCTGTGCAGCTTGAATATTACTTGAAGAGTAGCTGCTGCTAAAAGGAGCTAACTCTGCAGTGAAGACAGCCAGGAAATAAAACTCTGAATTCGGCATTTTTACACACAAAGAAACACGGATATTCCGCTTGAGATTTATGTGCACTGTAATTTCTTAATTTAGCAGAAAGTGTAATTCTCAGTCCAACATAGGAAAAACATTATTTTGGCTTCTGACTTTTCTGTTTTCTCTCCCAGGGTGGCAGACTATCAGGGCCATTTTCAAGAGCRTGATTTCAAGAGATACTCTGAAAAGATTCTAATTTGAAAAACAAGAAACTTCAGAAGAAACAAAAAATAATCCCACCATGTAAACAGAAACAAAACCCACACTTCTCAAGTGGACAAACATTTCATAAACACACTATCGAGAAAAGTAAAAAACCAAATGTCCCCTAAATCTCAACTGATTTGAGAAACCAAGCAAAAGGTTAATGACCTATTTTAAAAATTTTATTTAGGGAAGGGAGAAATGGGAATCAAGAAACAACWACTGCAGAGTCTACAGGGCCAAGCTTTCTGATACAATTTCACTGCTTAATGCAGTCTATTATATACAGCACAGAGGCATGTAGAAAGTAAATACRCTAAGTTTGCTTTCTTAAAACATCTCCGTGTTTTTAGATCCCAAACTGAACACAATTTTGAAAGACGAAGGTGCATTAATTAATCATTTTAAAAAGTGATGACATGTTTTGTACTCAATACCTCTCAGCTCTCACAGGTCTGAGGGCCCAGATCCCACTTCATGGTTCACCTTTGTGGAAGGTCACAGCAGCCTGCCGCAGGCAGCAAAACCTCAGCCCCAGCAGGCACATACAAACACATCCCTGCTCAGCTCAGCCAGTTCCTTCCCTAAAATGTCTGTGAAGAAATACCTTTAAAAAAAGCATTTTAAAATCTCCAGCTTGTTTTGGTATGAGCAGATGACCCAGCTGGGCACATGACAGCCCCACTGTAGCTCAGTGAGGGCAACGCACATCAAACACACATGGCAGGAAGACGCGATGCCAAAAGAACTCATTCAAGATTGCATTTTCTGGCACACATTTACATTCACTTGTCATGATACCTTAGTTTACCCCAGTCGTGGGAAAATCTGAAAGAAAGCCTGCTGAGGAGACTGGCAACATAGGGCCAGCTCCTGTCCCCCTGGGAACCAATGCAAAAGGCTGAATGAATTCAACACTAACAGAATCACTTCTTTCCAAGGATTTCCCATTTCTACCAAGCTGGAGGAACAACCCTATACAATTACCCATTTTCCAACTGGACATATTTCTCTGTCCTGTATGTCTCCCCACACCCTTCATATAAACTGTATTACAATTATACAAAAAATAAACCCAAATCATTTTTAGCTGAACTTTATCCCACACATGGGATATACTGAAAGGCCATTAAATTGGCTTGCCTCCAACCTTCACAGAGATCTTGTCAGGAGGATTCTGGTTTTAACAACATGTATATATACATATTAATATGTACACTGACAAAGAAGCTGCTCTTTCAGTTAGAAAAGAAATTAGATTTCATCACAGAATGAATCCTATAAAAAGATATGTAATAAAGTTGAAATACCCATAAAATAGCTATTACTAAAGCAAAGCTTTCGTCAATAAGCCTCCAAAACTTTAAATGAAGAAAATGGCTTCACGAAGTGGTAATCTAGATTTCCACAGTGAGGACACTGCTGGACGTTGCTGTATTCAGAGAAATACTGCATGCCAATCCGTACATCTATTACTGGCTTCCCACAGTGCTTACAGTTCAGTCGAGCCTGTAAAAAACAAAGAAACAAACAAAAAAAACCTTTTTGAAATAACCACATTCCCCTCAGCTCCTCACCTGTGGAGAAGAAGGTGCCAGAGGCAGTCCCCGTCCTCCCCAGCAGAAGGGGTCAGCCAGGACACTGGCAATAATGGGATGTGCTGGGTAAGGACATTCCTCACCTGGACTGGGAACTCCCAGGCACACCCCATGCCTTTCACATTAAAGACCACCACCAAATTTTGGGGASTGAGTCACCTCCCACTCTGACTGATGGAAGGCAGTGAGTATCAAGGTTTATTAATGCAAATGATTGTTTTGTGCTGCTTAATCTCTGAATCAATTCCTCAAYCCCCAGCACACAAAGTAAATCATTAATGAAGCCCCAAAGCAAAGAGAGAAATTTTATATCGGTGTCATGCAATTCAACCATCTAAGCTGATGTTTGAACACCATCTCTCTATGAAATATATCAGCATTTTAATCTTTTGGCTTAATAAATATACAACTCTATCTACTTTATCAGCACAAGATGGTATTGTGTCACTTTAAGGATCTATTTAAACATTTATAATATGTATCAAGTTATACAAGCTAAACATCACTTCATGAACTATTCTACAAAATCCAACTGAGACAGAAAGAAGCAACATTAACTGGGTGGATATGAGAAATAATTCAAGGTCATAGGWGATGACAGACAGAGCTATTAATATTCAGCTGCTATCAGAAAGTGAGGCTTCAGAAGAAATCCAGCTGAGAAGCACTGCCCATCTGATACAAAGAAAGCAACAGGCAGCATGAAAGCTCAGCAAGCCCTTCGGAATAAAGAGAAGCAGAAGGGATTTGAGAGAGTAAAGGAGTTAAAGAGTAAAGGTGGCAAATGAGCAGTGAGGGCCTGAGCTGCACCGTAGTTTAACCTCACAGCCCGGTACATTAATGAAAGCTTCAGCTCTCCACTGAAAAGAACAAAAAGTATTGTCTAGACCATCTTGATTTAAGGGATTTTCCTGGATGAAAGGAGGAGGAAATTACTAAAGTACTATCCCTGTTGAGACCAGACTCAAAAAAGAAACAAATCAAGAGCTTCACAGCCATCTGCTCTGCTTGAAAAGCAGAAATTTGAAGAAATACAATCCACTACATTATGAATTTTTATGAAATTCTTAAGCAAAGTATTTTCTCCTTTGCTACTGCCCAGCTAAGGGTTAGCAATCTGACAATGGCTGTATTATTCTACATGCAAATCMATGATGTAGAATTAAATATTTTGAATAAAGCATGAAATTATTCAAATAAAATCAGAAAGGCAATTTGGAGTTGTATTATATACGATATTTAAATGTCATTCCTCTGTGTGCTCGGAATCATCTGTAACAATCATGATGAAACAATAATGCTTATTATCTGGCAATCACAGCCACTGCAGCTAATGGTTCTATAGTCAGTTCTTATACCATGTACTGTCACACTGTCCATTAATCACGTAATTAAGGCCCTTGTATAACAACCTCTTAAATCCTGCCTTGTACATTCAACAGAAGCAATTCAGATTTAAGGTTGCTGACTTTTACAAAGGTAGCAAATCAGTATCAGTGTTTTATCTTTAAAAGCTCCTATTTTTCAGAAAGATACAATCTCAAAGACACTAAATGTGGAGGTAATACATCTGTCCGTAGTTATAATTGCTATCAATGTCACCTCAACCAGTAGCAGCAATACCACTTGTCTCTTGAACAACACATTTTGGTAAATACATTACATTTAAAATAAACTGGCATTTTGCATATTGACAAAATGGTATTTTATATTGCTTTCAAGTATGCACATTACCACAAAGTGATGCCAGTGTGAATGGCTGCATCTCTGCAAGGCTCCTGTCCTGACGTAATAACATCAGCTGTGTGCCCAAGCATCTGGAGCGGAGCACTGAGTCATTCCCAGACAAATGGTTTTTTCACAGCTGTCTAACTACCTGCACAGAAGTGCTCTGTCCATCACATGGACAATTCTCTTGAATGCCAACCATCCTGCTGCCCCAGGCACATGTCTGCTCTGGAGTAGCCCAAGGCCTTTGATTTTCCTCTCTCATGATACATTAAGGGAGCATTTAATGAACACTAAATTGCTTCTGGTGGGTGAGTACCATCACCAGGGTCAGCAACAGCAAAKATTAAGAAGAGCTGAGTAATCTCCAAGCACAAAGACAGTTTGGACTTTTCCCTTGATACCTTTTTTGCTACAGTTATGATAAAACACAATTTATGAACTAAAAAACCTGAAAACAGGAAACATCTGCTTGAAATGTGGAACTATATCTGACACCAGTGATACCAGTGATCAAGCATCAGAATTAATTACCAATGCATTTAAAGGGGCTTCATTTAAWAACATAAATATATTAATCACTGAACACTGCAATGACTTTTGTCTAGTTAAAGGCTATTGTAGCTCTTAAGAGAAAGGGACAGAGACCCATCAGCCTTCTTGTATTGCGCTCATAGGTACAGGCTGGAAAAGAAGGATGGAACAAGGAAAGGGAGAAGAGATTCACAATCTTCACTTTATCTAATCAGTTGGAATTTCACCTTGTGAGTGTTATTTATGTACGGTACTAACCTGACAACAGGGAGATGCTGCCAGAATATCGTAGGTATACATAGTTCCCAGCTGATGCCAGCTTCCATCCCATCGGGACTTGCACTTAATGCAGATAATTTTGTGAACCCCTTCTAAGCAGTCTACACAAACAGCATAGAGGTGCATAAGCCTTCCTGTGGACAGAAAAGACACATCTTARGGAGACTAGAAGAGAAGATTAAAATAGACATTTTCTTCATTAGTGATACAAATCAACCTTTCTTTTTCTTTATAAAGAGTGACTGATAAAAGTAAAAAATGCTTCTCTATGGGAAATACATAGGGGTTGACTGAAGCTGTGGAGAAMTCAGGAATTAGTCATCACCCTGCCCACTCTCCCATCATTTGCTGGTAGATCTTAGCAAAATATTTTATAAAAGGAGTTGCTAAATCTCCAAGAACAGATGCCAGGTTAAGCTGTAAGATCAGCTGCTGTGTTTCCAAAACCAGAATTTTGCCCTAGCATCATCCCCACCTGACATAAGAAGGGGAGAAGTGTTGAAGCTTCTTAGCAAACTTGGTACAGATCCATTTAACAACTTGCCAGTATCTTCCAGCAAAGAGGGTACTAAGGACCTAGTATTACCCACAGAAAAAAAAAAAAAAACAGCTAGAATTTTTTTTCATGTACTTTCTTCTGACAGTTTATGAACAGCAAGTATATTGAAAAATATTATAGATTGCACTTACACAGGCTTTAACATGCCATTCAGAACTAYGCATATATCGAGCTCTCTCGTGACCTTAGCCTCTGTATGTACAGTGACTTTCAAAACCTGAGTTATATTTATTTCCATAAAAATCAAGTGGCTCAGACCTGGAAATCAAAGACTTYAACTACTCACATGTGATTAAAATCACCAATACAAAAATCTGAGATCAAATGTCACAAAAATCCAAAAAGCGCTACACAAACTATAAAGATCTAGCGCCTAGATGATATCTATCTAAAGCGCCTAGATGATATCTGACTTATAGTGACTAGAYTGATTTACAGTTTAATAGTTGGCTATTAGAAGTGGCCTGACACAGAGTACTAATCCTGTAACACCACAGATTTTACACTGCTGTGTAAAACAGAGTCAAGCAGCAGTGCAGGCACAGATCAGCAGCAAAACAGGACTGTGTATAACATGTTCACCTTGGATTACAATTTGCGCTCTTTAGCTTCAAAGCACTGAACACATCACAAACTGTAATTCAAGAAGACATGTGTCTTGTAACTCTTCCAGATAAATAGGAACAAAATATTAATAATTTATGATTAGTCTACACCAGACACTTCCGAAATTAATTGTTTAACTTCTTTTGGTTTTAAGCCAACGATTTCAGAAAAACAAGAAAAATTAGACTCTTCTTAAAATACACATACAATATAAACTTGCTAGTATGAGCTAGTATGAGTTATTCTACATTGGCATGCTCRGCTCTAGAAAACACAGTGGGATGAAACCAAAGTGCAAATATAATAAACTCTATTCCTAAAGCAAACACTTGAGAGTGGTGATGTTCAAGTAACTCCACGCACAGAAGCTGCAAGTTATGCACACATAACCTTCCCAATCRGAAGTTCTGCATTGTTTCTGCACATTAAAATACTACATTTGACCGCTGCTTAATTTTCAGAATACTTTTTGTATAGGAAATGAGGCACCTAGTATCTTAAATATACATGAAGTAAAAGAAGTCTGCACTATAAAGAAAATAATAGCCTGGAACAGCACCTTACAGCYTAATTTCATTTCAAAGAGTACTTCTGGTAATAAGCCATTTCACCCAGGACAAGAAAGCAAAAATTTTAACAATTAATTATTCACAGCAACTTGTCTGAACAAATTTTTCAGATATGTCATCCAACAGTTAAGAAGCACTTAAGTTTAAAAAAAATCAGTTTCATTCTTAGTGGCAAATGATAACCAASGATGAGTTTCACTATTACTTAACCAGCTATTTGTACTGATAAAATCACAAGCACATTGTATGATTCCCCACCAAAGCAAATAAGCAGAGTTATCTCACATACATATATAGTCTGTTTATACTGGAACTTTTCTGGCTTTTATATTTACCTATCATTTTTTCTCCTTCAAACACATTAGGCAAGACAGAAACAATAATGTTAGCATGAATACAGCTTAGTGACTTAGTGCACAGTGATTTAAGGAAAGAAAAAAAAAATAAAATACAAAGTTTACTGAGCAAATGTATGTTACATAATACATATTATGACCATGCATGGGATACAATGTATTTTATTGAAAGGTGAGAAACTTCAGTGTTAAAATAYCTCTCCTTAATACCTTACCAACACACGCTTCAACACATAATTCTATGCTTTTGACCACCAAACTAAGAATACTTTCTTTGACTYATTTTAGCCATGCTGACTGCCAGCAGGCTGCAGGACAGGCACGTCTGGACATGCACCCCCCATATCACTTAAGTGTGGGCCACAGCTTTCAGRGAGAGCTAAAGCTCATGCTGGCCCACATTCACTTGTTCCTCTAGGAGAAAAAAAGAAACACATGGCTTGGTGTCAACTCATCTGAGCACTAGGACATGGATCAAGACACAAACACCTTCAAGTCTGGAAAWAAGTCTAAAACATTCACTACTACACTGCTGCTTCAACACAGCATATTAAAAGCTTGCTCTTCCTACATCCAACCTCTCCAGGCTTGTATTAACATAGGCCAGACTATAGACCTTTTCATATTTAAAAAATAATAGTTTGCTATAAAACAAAACTGATACTCTCTAGTCCGAAAGCAGATGAGAAGCACTTCACCCTCATCCGTAGTACAAATTCAACTTTCACCCAGGCTGCAGTACAGCACACTTAAATTTAAAAGGTTGTTTAAAAGATTGATGTGTATCTTGGAGTAAAGCTCACAACAGATAAATSAGCATGCACATGCTCGAGAACAGATTGGCTGGAAAACCTTCCCGTGGTCTACCTAAAAATTGGATGAAAACTTGTTTAGTTGTAAGCCCAAAGACAAGGCATGGGTCTTTCTACACAGCATCTTTTTGTAATTCCTTCTAAGTGTTTMATTCTGATCCATACGAGTATTTTGGACATTACTTCAAGCTTTACAGAACAGYTTAAAAATGCAGAATCGGGATGAAAATCTATAATGGAAGGAACAGGGCACAGAAGGCAGTTCCATCATTTAATGAAACCTAGCATGACTGACAGACAACCTGTACCTTGAAGGTGACAGGGAACATCATATTCAATCTCATCATGTCTCGATGGGCTAAGGAACAGGGTCCCGTCCACCAGGGGAAACTGTTCAAACACTGGCAGCGCCCTGTGGCACAGAGCACAGTTTACAACATTCCTGTGGCTGGCACTGAGAGCAGCAAGGATGAACTTCCGAAGGTCCTCCCCTTGGCCCACTTGGGCATCGTCTTCCATCCTCACATGGAAAGTATTTAATTTGTGCCTGGGGATGTGAGTGAGCAGCTCAGATAGATCGAGCCTTCTGAGAAATTGCACAGGGGTATCGAAGTGTCCTGATCTATGTGCTTGCAAGCCAGCTGCCCCATAATCAAAATGTGCATTCCTGAACATGCCCCCACCAGCCATGTTCTTCTTATGGGGCTCCAGGTGAATGGCATTCTTCAAAAACTCTCCCAAGTATCGTGAGGAACGAGGGCCACTGAAATGCGTGGGGGCGAGGATAGAGTAGCCGGTGGGTGGGGACTGGCCTGGAGAGACACAAGGTGAGCGAACGGCGTAGCTGCCACCCATGACACCCTTCTCTTGGGAGTTCTGCCTGTCCATAGAGTGCCTTCGCTGGAGGTCATTACTCAAGCCTTTCTGGGGCTTGTTGGCAGGCCTGCCTTTTTTGGCCTCTTCTGCTGACTCCGTCATGGACTTTCCCGTACTCTTCTCCAATACTGACTTCTTCTTCTTATCATCCTGCATTCGCTTCACCTGGTACCAGTCCGTGTCCTTCTTTAAATGGCCCTGCCCACACCGACAGGAGCAAAACCGAAAAGCCAGGTCATATCCCTTCTTGGTCCACATGTTTTGGCGACACTGCTTTTCGTTCCAGCTCCTGGCTCTGCCAATGCAATTGAACTGGACGAGGATGCTGCTTTCCCACTCGTAGAAGCACTGAAGGTGCATCCAAGTGCTGTATGGACAATGCTCGTTGTTGCATATAACCTTCTGGTAGTCATCCTTCTCCAGGTCCACTGGCCTTCCAAAGCTACAGATCAGTGGAGTAGCACAAGGGGCCTCTGTGGAAGGTAAAACAGATACATTAATAATTTAATGGCCCATTTATTGCAGCACTTTCTTTTAAACACTGTGATGAACACACACACAAGCTCTTACTAACAACCTGCATTACTGAAGAGCCACAAGCACTAGCTCTGGGTCACTTCAAAAAGCAGTATTTGCCAAAAAGAGATAAGCATGYGAAAGGAGATAAGAAAATGTGGAAATAAAGAAACAAAATTACATTAGAGTCTGTTTAATATTCAAAACCAAAGCACCTAAGAAACATTAGCCTTCCTCAAGCATTTGCGGATACCACTGAAAGGCCTTAAAAAGCAAGAAGAAAGATTTGGGAGAATTTCTGGAGGGCAGCTTTGAAGCTTCAGAGACAACATGGGGAGAACACACAGAGATGTTTGTTTGAAAAACAARTAAGCAATACAGCCCAGCTTTGCAATCACAGGGAGAGGTGGGAATTGATCTTTTCTTTGGGACTGAGCAAGAGACAATAGCTAGGGAGAGAAGAAGGAAGCAGAGGACTTGCAAAAGCAAGACAAACAGCTTACATTGCTAGTACAGAAAGGAGGSCCTTCACTACATTGCCCAAGCAAATACAATTTATATCACCACCACTGACCTTCAGGATAGCTAAATTTCACAAACCAAACAGTTCTACAGCACAGACAGGTTAAAAAAATCCAAATGCATCATGGTAGTTTATCAGTAAAGTAGCAGCTTTGCTATATCCTTGAGCAAAGAACAGTTTACTTCAATTATCTCCCGGCAACAGTATCGGCTTCTACACAAAAAATGCTCTACAACAGAACATTCTGCATTTATGAACCAATGACATTTTCTGGTTCCTCACCAAAGTACCACAGACTACATACAACTCCCATTGCTGACTGCTCTGTTGCAGCTGGGAGGCTCAAAAGCGACTGGAAATTTTCTACTGGAGTTTTTGGAAGAACTTTTCAGATTCTTACTCAAGTATTACAAATATTTCTTCTCCATATTTCTGCCTTCCTAATTCTCTCACTTCAACAGAAAGTACTGCCCCAACAAGGCTGGCAGGCTGCCTTTTAACCTTTGTATGACTGCTTTCAAATATTAGGTTTCTTCAGGGTCCTCTGTGGTCAAGGGCTGTCTCATCCCATGCAAAACACAGCAATCAGCTTCCTGAAGTTCCCCACTCTCAGCCAGAGCCCCAAGACTTACAGCAGAGGTGCACAGACCCTTGAGGAGAGYGACTGCCACAATTGAGGTTTTTTCCCTTAGGACTTTAAATTTCTATCTGATGAACAGGTAAAAAAAAAAATCACTCCTTTGCATTGTTTTTTTGCCCATTCTTGTCACTGTTAGCACAAATAACACAGCATAATTTGCAGTAGAAAGAAAGATTTTATGCTGCTACATGTACTGTGACTCCAACTCTCAGTATGAAATACAATATCCACCATCACCTGTCCTACAGCAGCAATACACAAACCAGGTGCTCYACAACAACAGAACTTTGCCACGCTAGTGGTTTTGCCCCTTCCCAGCAAGTTTTAGGAAAAGACTATAAACAAACAAAATTTTCAAGGCTACCTTCAGTAAATTCAAGATTACTGTATTTCTTAAAACTTATGTACACAGAAGAAACAAGCACAAAAAGCACAGAAAAACTTTCCTGAGCCGTTCCCTGGAAGATGCCACATCCTTAATTTCTTTGTCTATGTTTCTAATGCCAGAAGTGGCACAGCTGCAAGAAGAATTATTCTGCAACACCTTTCCTTCAGGCCTATAAATTGCAAGCAAAATACATTCCCAAATGACTACCTCTAAAGAAGAAAAAGCTTATTTCATTTCAAAATATGGACTTTTTGATCATTAAAAACAAATTACCAAATTGGAGAGAGAAGAGATAAGAGAGGCATTCCCTAGACACTCTTTGGAAGCTCCTTCTATACACGTGAGAAATACATTGTTATGGGTGTCTCATGTCTCTGAGAAGCCCACTAAGAATGTGAAAGTTTTGAGAAGCCTTTGAGAAACACCTATTTTATTGGCTACCAATGATTAATTTTACTCCACTATTTTACTCTATTATTGAGTATAATGTTACTGGCCAAGAGCAGAAGTGATAATTTGCCTGTTCTGAAACAAAATCTGTCAGTTTACCAGTTCAGAGAGTTTTTCCATTCATTCTCCCAGACTTCAAGTCATTCTACCAACAGAACAAGCATCTCTGCRAAGTTTTTCTTCATTGTCAGTCTTTCTTTCATCATATTTAAGGTCTGAAAGTATAGTTCACWATGATAGCATCCTTAAGCAATTTACCTCAGAGAAGCCAGTCAAACTGAACCCATGAGTCATATRTGAGGCAAGGTACTGGACGCACCGATAGGAGCAATTCTCACTTATGCATTTCCTGTATTCATCTATTTCGGTACATACTCCTTTCCACCATTGCAAGAAGGCAGCAAAAAAAGAACATGCCAAAAATCCGCTTATACTCTCACTGTGTATCGGAGAGTAAATGTTCTAACAGTTTCAGGTATAATTATAGCTGACAGCCGAGAAAGTACTACACAGACAAGTCTAGAATTGAATAAAGACACTATTCTTGTTCATCCATACTGGCACAGTTAACTGACTAAAAAAAGGAAAGCGTTTCCTTGATTAGCCTTTGAACACGTTTCTGAATTTGTATGCAAAAACATATGATTTCTATCCCCCTAAAAAGTTTACAAACTTTTCACTGTGTGGACAAAAAATTAAATTAATAAAGTAAGTGACTGAAATACAAGAACAATTACCACAGCCCATGTACTCCAATGTACTCCACAGAATATGCCTACAATTACTTAATTATGATCATGCACTGGGTGTCTAGAGGCTAAAATAAAGGCAACTTCCAACAGACTTTTTTTCCCCCTTTTCCTAGTTGGCCAATGGAAGTACTATGGAATGAAATGTTCTCCAGTTTCTCCTTGAGGACTTACAAGATGCCAGATTACCTGAGGAACTTCCCACACAGCATAACTATGAGCAAGAAAAGGCAAAGCTCCAAGTTCTGGACAGCGATGTCTTCTTCAACATTTAACTAGATGATTACGAACTTTTCACACATTCCCTCATCTGATCTTTTACCTACCCAGTGTGAACTGGCTGGTCACAAAATCACCATAGCAAAAGCAGGTCTAGAACAGCTGGAAGACAGCAACAGAATTAACAAAAGGCTTCCCTCAGGCAAAAGATTTCCATGAACTTTTAAATGGTGGCACTGAGATTGCTTTGGAAAAACATCATTGCTAAGAGAAGAAGAGAAGCCGGTCTCTACTCGCTTCTTCTGGGGACTCATCTGACATTTCACCACTGTTGCTGTAGATGCATAGGAAATACTCCAGGAAACTAACAGGTCTGTCTGCCATATTGCCATGCTCCACAGCACAGTTTATGCCATGCTAGTCAAAGCACCTTCTTCCACTGATACAGATTTGCTATTATCAAGTCTGCTGTTTGGAGAAGGCCTTGATTAACTGCTACAGTACTTCCACAACAGAAACTGTGAAGCCCAGCACGGGCTAATTTGTCTTCTAATTTCTCTCGGTACAAAGTTCTACCACTTCTGCAGTTTTCCTGTATTTAAGAAARCAGAAGACTCCACTACCTGAAAAGCATGCAAAAACCTCAAGCCAGCATTTGGTTTTGCCTGACATTTCAAATTCCAGCAGGTGTATCTGTACAGAACAGACTGCAGGAYGGAAAATCACTTGCAGACTACTCTGTACCCATGTCTCCTGCCAGACATAACCACGCCACATGTTCCTGCATAAAGAACAAATGAGAAACAGAAAACAGCATTTTTTTTGTGCAATTTTCCCAGTTCATGGCAGTAGATATGCCGCAGGAGCAAAAGTGACAGCATTCAGATAAGAAAGGGAACCACAGCTTAGCTAATGTGAAGAGCTCTTCCCATCAATTCATATCCTTGAAAGTGGTCTGGGTTGTTTAATCACCATTTTATAAATGAGACAAAGCCACTATTTCAGTATTACAAAATTTTAAAAATTCTTGTTATCAAGTCTTTGTACTTCCCGTAATTAAAAATGCACTTTGAGTTACTCTTCAAAAAGACAGAGTTAGACTAATGCCCTAATGTTCTATGATCACACTGTTAACAATTACTGTAAAGAGAGATTATGAAGGGAAGTAAATACAAATTACATGGCCAAACTGTCCATCCRTACCTGCAGCCCAAGCTGGTTTGTCACCTAAAATATAATTTCTTTCCAAGTAGATAACAGCTCAACAGGTTTTTCGTTTCCAAAGCTACAAAACTGAACTTCAGGGAAAATGAAACATTACACGGCATCAGAGCAACATCCATTCTCCTAGCAGCCCCTTTGAAAAGAATGCTGAAATAACGATGAAAGAACTTCTATTTAACTCTCAGTTTCAGGATGGTTTCACAGCTCTAGGAGAACAAAACAAGACAGCATGCAGTATTGTGTAGCAGAACAGCTTCAACGTAGGCTGTCAAGTTGCAACTACAAGCGCATGCTGCTTCTTCCAAGACGTTATGTTTCCACATAAAAAAATAAATGTTTTCTCATATTCCTTTGCAGTGATTTGGAACAGTGAATCTGAAAATAGTTGGAAGGAGCGGTAAATAAATGTCTTCTAAAACAGAAATAACATACAATATTCCAAACACACGTACATTYGTGCAAAGATAGCTCACTGATAAAACAAGCTTGTGTTTTATGTTTGACAGAGCCACCAYAACATTAACTTTTCCTTCAAAAATGAGAATATGACAGAAGACTGCAAAGAAGCTGGATTGGGTTGTTTGGCTTTTTCTCAGTTTTTCTGTTCAGGTTTATAAACATCCATAAAAGCCAGGAATAGGAATAGAAATAGAACATCTGAGAAGTAACTCTTTCAACATAAAAAAAAATCCTCCCACATGAATTGGTTGTACCTTCTAATAAAAAAGGAAGGGAGTACATGAAGACCATCCTTCCCATTTTATGACCCAAATGAAAGCAGCAGCAGAACAACAGCTGCCTAAGGAACTCCCCTCCGGTGAAGTATATTGAGGAGAATGTTGTTTACTTCTGTTTACACACCCATCATAAAACCAAAGATGCACGCAGCAAGCCAAATGCAATGATTCCATGGCTTCAGTTTCGTGACTGCTCTCATTTGTTCCAAGTCCTCAATGCGGATGCCTAMAGCAAAATTCGCTCTCCCCCTGCTACGCTCCCACATTATCCATTGCGTTAAGCACCAGAGTTTTTCAGTCAGTGGACAGAAACAGATAATTATTTTCYGTACTCGTCAGCATAGGTTTCAGCTCACTGCACAGATTTGCCATCCCTGGTAAAACTCAAGGGAGGTGTTAAACATGTGAGGATGGGGGCAGAGGAGAGGGAAGTGYGGTGGCGGCAGGAAGAGACAGCCCTACTGTCATCTTAAAGCAACCCTCAGGCAACAGTAGGTTCTTACGGATCTGGAAGRAGAAATTATCCCCAAATAAAGGATAAGGTCTTGGCACTGGATTGCTTGCAAGACACTCACTATGGCTTGTTCTTGGTCTACTGTCGCTCTAGCACCTCTTCATTGTGCCAAGGACACACTAGCTGCCAGCAAATTACCTAGGCCAGAAAGGTTCCTGTGGGGGACACACTTTGAAAATCAAGCATTTTAACCTCTACCCTGCTTTCTCATGAACACTGCTCTCTTCACAACCTTACACAGCTAGGAATTGTTCACTCTGCCAGCCTGAACCAGAGCTGAGTCATTCCTGTGGAAGGCTGCTCCCTATCAACCATCTGCATGAATCTTCTGAATTTCCTCTGCCATCAGCACAGCTTTATTTTAATTGAAGTCATACAATACCACTGTGCTAACACTGTAATGCAGCTGTAGAAAATAAACCACCACCACAACAAAACAGACAGAAAGAGAAAACTTGAATTAATTGTCTGATGTATTTGCTTTGCTGAACCTTGTAATACAATCCAATATTCCAAAGATTACCAACACATGACAAAATAGTATTGTCGTACTCATAACAGTTAAACAGTACAAATAATATGGCAATACAGAAATGATCAGGCCACTTTTCTAAGAGCTTAAGTGCAGCAGAAGAACGCAATGAGAAAAAATGTCTCAGAAGCTTWTCCAAAAGGCAGGCTTGGATCTTCAGTGAGCAACAACAAATAACAGCTCACATACAGTAAGAGAAGTCTTTCAAAACAGCTCGGCTCGGGCTTATACTGGTAACACTCACTGTTGATGACTGGTATCTCTTCAAAACTTCTTAAGCAATCTTTGCTGAATGATAAAGATGAAAGTTTCCAGGAGGATTCTCCAGGAGGGAAGGGGAAAAAACAAGACAGCAGTACCTGGTAAGCCACCCTGAACACAGGCTTTTTCTGTGCCATACGACTCCCTCAAGCTCTGGGAAAGAGACGCCAAGGCCAGCAGTCCATTCTCAATGTGCGACAGAGCCACGGCCATCGCAATGAGGAGTTGTCTGGAGTCAGTCTGGCTGACAGCTTCACATCTATTACACACCTAGATATTGACAATCTGTGCCAATAGGTGCTGATCCAGGGCTCAGTCCCACCCTCAAGGACCAGGCAGCCACAGGCAATACCTACTCTCAGAAGGGACTTAGAGAGAACAAAGCCATAAGCAGCCCARCTCCCTCACATGCTCCACCCTACATGCAAGATGTCATTAATTCTATTAAGTGAGCAGTAACTTAAAGTGACTACCTTACCCTAGAAAAGATTTCAGRTAATTTGGAACTACCAAACCCTGGTTCACCTGAGAACTGAGGTAATGTGATTCCCAGAGGGCTCAACAATTGCTAGAACCACCCCCATGCACTTCACTTATGCTAACTTCATGTTTGACCTCCAAGGCAATGTCTTCACAATAAAAAAAAAAATCAAAAAACTTCAGAGCAGCAGGAAGATACCATGGAAATCATGAAGGTTTAACTCATACCTGCCACATTAACACCTTCTAACTAATAGCACAGTCTGAGCTAATGCCTGTTTATGAAATCAGCAACTAGCATGTGATACACTTATCTGCAGCTCTAATTCAACCACCCACTCCCAGCTCAACCATCACCTCACCAAAGTAATGCAGAATATCAAGTTAAACTAAGGAAGATAGGCACTTACATGTGCGCAATAATTTTGTGGCTTTTTTAAAGAGCCATCTGTGTTCCAAGCTGAACTTACTGCCTACGCTGTTGAAACCCAACATGGGAATTCACATGGTCTTGCAGAAGTCACCAGAATCTGTACAATTACCATCTAGGCAATTTAGCCAGTTTCTTTCCATTTAATATGTGTTGCCCAAATACAGAAAATAACTCAATCACTAGCTTTGGCTTTTGCTTAGGATGCAAGACCCATTCTGTAAACGAAAAATCTTGCCCTGGCTTGTGCTCTAATACCTGACTCCATCTGGAAACATCCCCAGAGAAGAGGCCTAAGTCTCTGCCTGGTTCAGTACCAGGACAACTGTGCACCTCTGATACTCCCACGTGAACTCTGAATTGGTTTAACCAGGTCAGAAGACAATTGGCTCTCCATGCCATAAGCTATCACGCCCCAGCCAGGAAGACTCCTCACACTCCTCAGCATCAGTGAATTTCTCTGATGACCTCTATCATGGTGAATGCAGAGATAAGTGACTATCTCAAGACTGGTGAGCCTTAATGTGTTTTGAACATGGGCTGTTGCTTAGACTGCACATAAACTGTCCCCATRGAAAAGGACTTCCACCATTAAATCCTCTCACTTCAGCCTTCCAAGAGCTTTTAGTAACTTGAAATGCCAGAGAGAACTAACCTTGGTGCTTCAAGAAACAATCATTCTAATAATAACTAAAGCAGACTCTACTGTACCTGCCCTAGCAAGTTACCAGGGGCAGACTCCAACTCATGCTGGAAAMAGAGGTGACTGTGGCATGCAGTAGATGCCATAATGACAAGCACAGATGTAAACACTGCAGGCTAGACTTGCTCAGACTGACAGCCAGCTAGCCACCAGACCCAGTCCAAAAGCACAGGAAGGAGAGAAAGGAAAACAGTTTGAATCAAGTGGTATCAGCACCTCTTACAGTTTCAAGTCTGGGTATATTTGTGTCATTGGTCGATCCTTCCCAAGATTCAGTGTGACAGACTGTGTTTTATTTTCCATGCTAAAGGCTAAAGAATTGGGTAGAAACTCAGTGGGAAACAGGAGATAGTACCCATCATCTCTGCAGACAGCATCTCCTGAGTGTGGAGGTGTTGGCTCCCACAGACATCTCCCTCAGGATGCCATGCTGGCTCCCAGCCCTGTCATCCGCCATCTCTGGCACCTGTGTGGCACACAGAGACCTCAGTTGTACCCTGCTCCCATAATGGGCATCAGCAGCATGGAAATGCAGATGGGGACTGCCAGGCATACTCAACAGCCAGGCTCCAAGAGAAGCTACCTCCTCTCCCAGCAGCATCCAAGACAGGAACAACAGCACCATCCCTCTCAAGCCCAAGAACRGGGACTGATAGACCCTGAAACACATAAAGGTTGAGATTAATGTGCTCAAGACTAATGTCACTGAAGTCTACCASGAAATGCCAGTGCTCCACTCGAAATCCCACAAGCTTTCAAAATGGAATTACCCACTCCAGTGACTAGATTACTGCTTCAAGAGGCGTCTTTGAAATTATTTGAATTTCTATCAAAACTATTTAAAGAAAGCCCATGCCCTACTAATCCTGTTATAATTTAGACACCTTGAAGATTAGCTGTAGTATTTTACTGTGCTGAATGCAAGGTTTTCCTCTGTTTTTTTCCCTCGCACATGCTGCAGGAAGAAAAGCAGAGAAGGATGGACGTCTGCCAGCCATGACAGTCTTTAATATCAAAGGATGTCTCAATATGCAAGGCTGTAAGCGAGGCTGAAGAAAACTTACAAATGTCTCCAAGGACTAGAAATCATTTTGTCACTATTTGTTAGATCACTGGGAGTAAGATATCAGATGAGTACAGACAAAGCAAAGCAATCAGCTCAAAAACTGTATTTCCTTGTATGAAATAGTGCAAACATCAARCCTAACCCTTACTCCTGAAAGCACTACACTTGAGCAATAACTAATCACATGAACACAGAATGCTATGTTCAGGGCACCGATAACTATTTTGATAGCAAGTAACTTAAAAAACCCAAACTTAAATGGGTGTGTATTTGCTTGCATGAATGGATAATATTTATTTTACTCCGTAACACCATGAACATGATTCCATTTGCAAGGATTTGCAGAACATGAACTGCATTTGCTACCAAAGCATGTAATGGCATAGTTTTAAAATTCCTAAAACTAACGTGAAAGTCCTTTTGAACCTGATTTGCAATGATAGAGAAAGCGAAATTTGCATTCAACTGATTTCCACAGTTAGAAGAACATAATGTTATTAGGAGGCAAAATGATCTCCCCTTAGTAAATTAATAGGTAATAAATTTTGTAGTCACTGCAACAGAATACAAACTTTATTTTCCAAGGGGTCTCACTGATACCAATGGGACTCCCTCAGGCTAAATAATCAGAAAGTGCCAATACTGAATATCACTTAGAGTGCCAAACTGGAACTGAATGTTATATGCAGCAGGGAACGTTTGACAGCAATATTAAACCAGGCTTAAATACCACAATTCATTCTCTGAAAATACGTTTTTAAATTAAACATTGCATTGATGATTTTTCTGTCCTTCTTTAACTATCCCACATCCAGGATATGTATTTTTTCAGTAAATTGTAATTGCTGGCCAGTCACAGCTTTCCACACATTAGTCACTGTTGTGCTTACTGATTTCCCTCTTCATATACCTGTCCGAAACTAGCATTTTTATTTGAAAGTAAATCAGTCTTACAAATTTGTGAAACCCAGGCAAAGTGTTCAAAAGCACACAAATCTGATTACCAGCAACTCCACCTCCCAACCCACCAACTCGCCAGCTCTGCCATTTGTGCAGTTTAAGGGCTCACCTATAGCAAGGGAAAAAAAAAATGATCTTAAACAGATGGGCAGCGCACTGCAGGACAGTGACTTAGGGACAGTTATGCTATACTTCTATACTTTTTTTAAAAAACTTAATTTGGCTGGCTTTAATAAATTCCATGTTAAARGGGAAAAGCATAGGTAAGAAGACACAGCTTTTTCTTTTCTCTAATCTTCTCACAGTGGCAATGCTGGAGCGACCAGAGTGACAAGGACAAGGGGATGAAGCAGCGAGTTGTTAAGCTAGAGACCACCAAGCCAAAGAAGAGGACTAGGCTCCACTGGGAAATGAGACAAAGAATGTAAACAACTGCATATGGAGACTAGGGCCAGAAGTTTAGAGGACAAAGGGATAAAACAGGGTGCAGACAGTCTGAAAGTGTACAGCCTCAGCAAGGCAGGGACAGAATAAGAATTTGCTCCTCAGAGTCTCAGACATGAAAGTGAACCCCGTGGATTTTCCTCCTCTGATGATTAGGGCAAAGTACCCACAAAACGTTACACTAATTTATGTCTGCACATGAAGGTAATCAACTACTGCCATCAAAWACCGCCATCAATAGGGTAAGCGCACAATCCCATGCAGCCACTGGCATAATTCTGCACAACTGCTCAAATTTTCATCTTAGTTTTTATGAAAACTAACCCAGAAAACTAGCTAGAAAATTGAAAATTTTGAGGAACATCATTCAATCACTCTGAAGACAGGTATTCTAAGAAATGAAGCCTTCTGTAACATCACATCTCTATTTCCCTGTGCACTGTGATACTTTTAAACTAGTCTACCCACACCGCATACCCTCTCTCCGTGACCTGTGCATCACTCAATGCAGAAAATGGACATACTTTGGTCAAGAAAGATTAATCTATGACATGGTCTGATGGAAGAGACAGGAATGGARGACATAGGTACAGAGAGTTAATCTCCCTTGTAGGCATCCTACCAATACCTGCTGAGAAATGAGAGTGCAAGATGATAATAATGACTATCACATCTGGTCAGTGGTTATGCTCTCTGCCTTCCTGATTCTCCTGTGTGGGTTTAGAACCCTTCAAGCACAGTTTGAGCTCTGAACATGCAAAAATTAAACCACCACCACAAAACACATAAACAAATGCCCTCTTGGGGCAGGGGAAATGTCTGCTGACATTTCTTAGTCATCATGTCAAAAACTGACTGGTAGTTTAAAGGGAAAATTGTGCTGGTATTGAAGCAAAATTTATCAAAATGTAAAAGTGAGCAAGGACTTTCCACCATAAAGGAATGTTGTAATGGCAGTTGTCAATTACATAGCACAGCTAGTCAGGGCTGTGATGTCCAGAGGAAATTAAAAATTCTATTTCATCATGCCACATGGAAAAGGGGCAGAAACAACATATGGACCACATAATGAACGGTGAAGATTTTTAAAAAACCCATATCTGAATCACTATCTCTTCGTGAGTGAAGCAGGGTCCTGATGTGACTGCATAATTAGACCATCATACTGACATCATGATGCAAAGCCAAGGCCTGCACAGATACTTTCAACTGTTAAAT